CCTGGAGGACGTCAGCTCTGGCCCCACCAGGTTGTTGGTCTCCTGCTCATCCTCGGGCTCCTCCTTCTTGGACACCACTTGGTCGAGCAGGGGCAGCAGCACGCCCATGCCACCCACGCAGTTGACCACGTCCTACCGGAGGGAGGCGAGAGGCTTTGCTGGGTGCTGTGTGGTGAGGGCAGCGCAGAGGAGGAGGTTGTACATGCACCCAGGGTCCATCCTGCCTGCTCACGGCTTCAACCCAAGCCAGGAAGAGCCCAGCCCTGCGGCTAGCAAAGACTGTGGTGTGCCCAGACCCATCCTACAGCACCAACCTAAAACAGGTCCCCAGAAAGCACCCGTTCCCCTGCAACGGCCACCCATGGTGCCCACCCTGGACACTGAGGACCTATGGGGCAGACAGGTCCTTGGTGGACCCAATATCACGTAGCAGAGTCCCTGTAGGGACCAGGGGAACCACCATGGCCATCCAACGCCCCATGGGGGTCCTGTCCTGGCCCTGTACCCAAGGAAGGGCCCAGCTGCCTCCATGCCACGGGGTAGATGGGCCAGGATGGACCACCCTGTGCCCAGCGTACCTTGATGTCCCAGTTGACCACCTTGTGCCCTGTCAGCCTCCCATCCAAGCTGTGGCTGGGAGAGAGGTCCAGGCAGATGTTGTTCCTGCAAGCCTAGAAGAGAGCACCATGGGAGCATCTTCATGCTCCTGGAGATGTCACCTATGGCAGAGGGTCCACCAGGGCGTTGGCTTTCCTCACCTGTGGAGTGTAGTACAGCAAGAGCTTGCTGCTGAGCTCCACCAAATCACCTTCCAGCGTAAAAGGTGATGTGACATTTGGCCCTGGGGGAAGAGCATTGGGATGAGCTGAGGCATGGTGGGGGAGACCCTGGTTGCCACCAGCACCACCGCAGACGTCCCCCACGTCTCACTCCGACACACCTGCGCAGAAGAGCGCCTTGACCTGAGCTTGCTGCAGAGCCTCGCAGAAGATGGCCACGGAGCCCAGGTGACCCTCCAGGGAGGTGGGGCTGCCCCACTCGGTGTCCTGGCTGCCAGCTGCCGTGGTGGCCACCACCCCCTCGGTGGGGGGCTGAGTGGGGGTCCAGGCGTGGGGGCCGAGGGCGGCGGGGACAGACTGGGAGCGGCCGAGAGCAGGGCGCTGGGTGAAGACCAGCTCCGGCCCGTGGGATGCTGGTGGGGGGCTGG